ATAAATATAATGTAAATGTTTGTCTTTAAGAAGAGGAGATGATCGGCTAGTACCCCTAAACTGCATCCGAGGTGGTGGAAAAGAAGGTGATGGGATGTGTAGGATAGTTGGAAAGGAGGAAAGAGGAGAGGTCGTGGTTAAGAGGGGGAGGAAGGAAGAGGGAAGTAGGTAGGAAGGTTGAGGGAGTGTGGATGCAGGGCGGGGGGACCGCCGATTATTTCTGAATACCTAATGAGTAGGTTTTTTATGTGTTTGTTTTTCTAATGAAATGCACCATATTTGTATTACTTGTTCATATGTTCATTTGAAAAAATTAATAAAAAATTTAAAAAAAAAGATGACTGCTTTAGTTGTTCCTTGCTCTCAGCATAATATCTTTATTTTGCTGCGGTGCAAGGGCACAGAAAAGGTACCCTGGAAAGGTCTGCACAACAATTTGTGTCCTTCTCTAAAACTCAGTGGAAAATACTGGGCCAATCCAACATTCTTAAACTATTTATTTATTACCGTGGTTTTTAGTATCGCCTGTTCACCGCCCTGAGTCCCGTAAGGGAGATAGGGCGGTATATAAATTTAATAAATAAATAAATAAAAATAAAATAACCTCTTTTACTGCATCACCGTGCAGGTAAAGAACCGACAGCGGAATGAACAAAGGAAAATGAAAAGGTAACATCCATGAGGACGAAAGCCTGGCTCAAGATACTTACAGAGGTAGACAGGAGCAAGTCTGGCTAATCTTGACATAGCATCAGCTGCCTCCACCTGGCCCCAGTCTCTCAGCAAAATGTAGAATATGTTCTTCTTGGATCCGGATCCCAGGGTTCCTTTGTCCATGCTGCCGGACATCAACTCGCTGTTGTGGATGGCGACATCTGAAACACAAATGCATTTAGTGGGCCAGCTAAACATGCCACAGGAGGCAGCTTTTCGTCCTTCTTTCTCTGGCTGTGCCAAGTTCTTGGTGTAATTCCAAAAAGGGGCTTTGGAGCATACAAAGAGAGCACTTGGCCGCCACTCTTTACAGGCAGCTGCATCTTTACGGTATTCTGCAGCAGCTGCCTGAGCCTGGGAGAAGACACAGCTACTTTAAAAGGTTCATTACGCTCAGGTAGCAATTTTTGACCTTTTGTTACAGACACTGTGGCACACATTTGGAATCAAATTAAAAAAGGCTGCACAACCTTTTTAGTAATAGCACTAGCAATAGCGCTTAGACTTATATACCGCTTCACAGTGCTTTACAGCCCTCTCTAAGCAGTGTACAGGGTCTATTCTATTTATTCTATTCTATATTCCTATTCTATTTTTCATTCTATTCTATTCTATTCTTATTCTATTCTTCATTCTATTCTATTCTTATTCTATTCTTCATTCTATTCTATTCTATTCTGCATTCTATTCTTATTTTATTCTATTCTACATTCTATTCTATTCTATTCTGCATTCTATTCTTATTTTATTCTATTCTACATTCTATTCTATTCTATTCTTATTCTATTCTATTCTTATTCTATTCTTCATTCTATTCTATTCTATTCTGCATTCTATTCTTATTTTATTCTATTCTACATTCTATTCTATTCTATTCTACATTCTATTCTATTCTATTCTATTCTGCATTCTATTCTTATTCTATTCTATTCTTCATTCTATTCTTCATTCTATTCTATTCTTATTCTATTCTTCATTCTATTCTATTCTATTCTATTCTTCATTCTATTCTATTCTATTCTATTCTATTCTATTCTATTCTATTCTTCATTCTATTCTTCGTTCTATTCTATTCTATTCTATTCTGCATTCTATTCTATTCTATTCTATTCTTCATTCTATTCTATTCCTGTTTTTCGCAGCTGGTAAAAAAAAAAAAGACTGTTGCTAAAATGAACAGCAAAATCCTTTCAAGAAATCCTAGCAATCAACGATCAACGATAACAAATCGGGGGAGCCGTACTACTTACAGGAGTCGTTACTGCACAAATCTTCGCCTTTGCCACAGTATTGTTTGCCTTTGGTTCTGAGATTGGCCTTGACCGGGCAACTGTCCCCGGGCTTCAGAATGATGCTAAAGACCTGTTTTCCTGTCCACAGGGTGACCGGCTTCAAAAAAAAAAAAAAAAAAAAAAACGAAGGCCAAGAAGAAAGGATTATAAACAGGGATGTGGACGAATGCCCTCCAGAGGCTAGTTCCGAGGAGGATGAGCTGGCAGCTGAGAGCTACGAGAGAGAGGAGTGGAGGGGCGCAACCAGACGAGCAGCCGGCTGAGCCAGAGACAGGAGAGGCCCAACTGCAGCCGGGAAGCCCAAAGGCCTCGAGTGGAGAGGGCACACAGCTGCAGCTGGCCAGAGGAGATGAAGAACTACCTCCTCCTCCAGATCCGAAAGGCTGAGAGGAGGCAGGCGCAAAGGTCAGCCAGGCTGCTCGCGAGGAGGCAGCCTCACCTCTCTTGATGAGCTGCACCAGGAAGCAGTTATTTAGCAAAGGGAGCAAAATGACGCTGGGAACATGTTCGTTTCCTCGCTGTGGGTTCTTGCCTCCAATTTTGGATTGTGTCTCCTCAGCTGGGGCTTTTGCCTTGCCTTTGCCCTGTGGATTTGCCTTGGCCTCCTCCGTCCCTTTCTCCCTTGTCTCTCCTCTCTCTCTCTCCCTCCATCCCTCTGTCCCTTTTTCTCTCTCCCTCCGTCCCTCTTTCTCCCTCCGTCCCTCCCTCCCTCCCTCCCTCTCTTGTCCCTCCCTCTCTCCCTTTGTCCCTCCCACCCTGTCCCTTTTTCTCCCTCCCTCCCTCCATTCGTCCCTTTCTCCCTGTCCTCATCTTTTCCTCCCTCATTCCTCCCTCCCTCTCGCTCTCCCTCCCTCCGCCCATTTCTCCCTTATCCATTCCCCTCTCCCTCCCTTTCTCCCTCCGTCCTTCCCTCCCTCTCTCTCGTTCCTCCCTCCCTTTCCCTGCATCCCTCCCTCCCTCTCTCTCCCTCCCTCTCCCTCACCCTCTCCCTGCCAGACCTTAAGAATTGCTGGAGGCGGGAGGCGAACTTTCACTTTTTCATCCTTGCCCACCAGAATAGAGGCGATCAACTGACAGGCTTTCGCTCGGTCAAAGAAAGTGTCCTTTAGCGTGAGGAGATATGCACCTAAAATATGAAATAAAAAAAAAATCCGCAACAAAACGCAAAAAGAAAGAAAGAAAGAAAGAAAGAAAGAAAGAAAGAAAGAGAAAGAAAGAAAGAAAGAAAGAAAAAGCATTAAGCCTGGTGCATTTTATCAGCTCTCAGGTTTTCATCCCATGACACTGCGCAGAACAGGGATGCAAAACAATCCCAAAATAAAGACCGATGTATTTATTTTACAAAGATAATTCACACGGTGAGAAGATAAAAGAGCAAAAAATGTGATTAAAGAGAAGCAAAATATTTCATCCCCTGCCACTTTCCTTCTTTATATAGGCAAATTTTCTTTCACCTTTGTAAAGCTGTAAAGACTAGGTCAAAAGCTGAAAGTTTTAAAGAAAACTTTCAAAAAAAAAAAAGTGGGGTCCAATGCTGCACTTTGCCCGTAACTATTTCAGATATACTTCGATACCAAACTTCTCAACAGAAAAAAAAAAATCCCTGCGACATTGTATTAATTTTTTAATTTAGGAGGAAATGTTATTTCAATCAGCAAAAGACCCCCAACATTCTCCTCAGAATAAGTTCCATAAAAGGCTCAGGTGAAAAGAAAAAATATATTAAAAAAAAGGGATATCAGTTTCTATTTTTCCCCTTAAGTCCCCCCCTTCCCCCCCAAAAAACACTGGAAAAATGAACCGTTTGGACAGACCAAAATAAAATGTTCCTGTTATGCCCCAAATTTTCACAAAGACGTATCTGAGACTGAAGTTCATAAAATGCAACTCCTGTTGGTAATATGATTTAAAATGCAAACCTGTCAGAAAATCTTGAATGGCAGCAATCAGCGGTTCCCCGTTCCTCGGAGTTACCAAGTTCGCTTTGGTCTGAGAAAATAAAATATATATTTTATTTCTATACTAGATTTCCTCCCAGAAAAGGAAATTGATCAGATCAGATCGTGTTGCATATCCTCACATTTGAAGCTAATTACTTAACTTTCAGGGTTCAAGTATATACTGTAAGATATACTTGAGATAAGGAGATTAATTGTCCTCACTGTCAGGAAATTTCTCCTTATTTCTAAGTTGCTTCTCTCCTGGATGAGTTTCCATCTGTTGCTTCTTGTCCTGCCTTCAGGTGCTTTGGAGAATAGCTTGACTCCCTCTTCTTTGGGGCAGCCCCTGAGATACTGAAAGACTGCTATCATGTCCCCCCTCGTCCTTCTCTTCATTAAACTAGACATACCCAATTCCTGCAACCGTTCTTTATATGTTTTAGCCTCCAGTATCCTGATCATCTTTGTTGCTCTTCTCTGCACTTCCCCCCCCCTAAGGTCTCAACATCTTTTTTGTATCTTGACCAAAATTGAGTTGACTGGCTTCATCTGCAATTGTGCAGATCAATTTGCACCACTGAAAAAACCTTGTATCTATGGAGATTCTCAGTAGAAGCATCTTAACTCGATTCTCTCTTTCAACTTCCTTGGTGGTGCTCATGGTCTCTCAGGACCAAAGTGGATGTAACGGAACCAACCTCATTGGTATCTAGGGAGGTTCTCCATTATTCCAGATCATGGTTGTCCCAAAGATGCATTTTCCAGGAGGCAACTGGACTTTCTTGTTTTTCCTTTGAAAATGTTTCGCTCCTCATCCAAGAAGCTTCTTCAGCTCTGACTGGATGGTGGGGAATGGAAGGATTTATACTCCTTGCAGATGGCTAGTCATTTGCCTCCTTTTAGAGAGTCCTTGAGGCCACTTGGAGGTTTATCTGTGTCCTCAGGGTCACCTGAGTGGTGCAAATGGGTGTGGAGCCTTCTGGGCGGCAGGATATTTTCTGCCCTGGGTCCCTTCCCTGTTGAAGACAGGCACAGGCTGTTGGGGATGAGTCTGTGCTGTCTGAATCTCGAACTGAAACACAAATGGTTCTTGTAGTACTCAGACGACACTGAGGACACAGGTAAACCCCCAAGTGGCCTCAACGACTCTCTGAAATAATGCAAACGAACGGCCGTCTGCAAGGAGTATAAATCCTTCCTACCATCCAGTCAGAGCGGAAGAAGCTCCTCGGATGAGGGGCGAAACTTCTTCAAAGAAAAACCAGAAAGTCCAGTGGCTTCCTGAAAAAAATAAAAAAATAAAAAAGCACCGTTGGGGCCCTGACAAACCCTAAACTCATGAAGGCGGTAACTAACCAGGAGAACTCGACAGCAGTCTCTCGGTCCCTTCCGTGGCTACTCCGGTGAGATCAGAGGCTCGCTTACCCCCATGAGGACCAGCGCTTCAGCTTTCGCTTCTTCGGTTTGAGGCAGGTGAAGATTCATCTCGTCGCCGTCAAAATCGGCGTTGTACGGCGTGCAAACACATTCGTTGAAGCGAAAAGTGCGGTGAGGTTTTACCGTAGCCTGGAATACACCATCGAACCAAGGTAAGGAAGAGGAGAAAAAAAATACTCAAAAGGATTTTTAAATATACCGACGGGAATAATGGGAACCGTCTGTCCTTTTGGCTTTGAAGAGGACACGTTTTAACAAAAAAGAGAACTGACGTACTTGCTCAGGCGTACGGCAACGCCGTTAAGCGAACGCAAAAGGGGATCACGTGACCGCAGAACCCTGCAACTGTCCTAAGTCCATGCCAGTTGCCAAGCATCTGAATTCTGATCACGTGACCCTGGAGATGCTGCAATGGTCGTAAGTGTGAAGGACGGTCGTAAGTCACTTTTTTTGGGCGCGTTGTAACTTTGGTCACTAAAAGAATGATTCTAAGTTCGACCTGTGTATACTTATTAGAAGTTCAGCTGTCTGGTTTGGCAACTTAGATTTGGCTCTACTTTCTACATAAACTAGGGAACAGTTAACAACTTATAACAGAATAACAGAGTTGGAAGGGACCTTGGAGGTCTTCTAGTCCAACCCCCTGCTCAGGCAGGAAACCCTGTACCATTTCAGACAAATGGTTGTCCATTCTCTTCTTAAAAACCTCCGGTGTTGGAGCACCCACAACTTCTGGAGGTGAGTTGTTCCACTGATTATTTGCTCTAACTCTCAGGAAATTTCCCCGTCTACCAATTTAGCACAATACTGTGATTAAACAACTTTGTTCCCAAAGCCAACTGCCCAGATTGTGTTTGAGGTCTGACACAGACCACCTCTTCTGCCCCAGTCTTCTCCTACTCTTACTCAAACCCACGGGGTCTCATTCCTAAAGACCACGAAACAAGGAGAAAGCTTAATAAAAGCTAAAATAAGAGCCCTTACGATATGAGCCATAATGCTGAGTTTGTGCAAAGAAGGCTGTCGGTTAAACAAGACGATGTCGCCATCTATCAGGTGCCTCTCTACAATGTCGCCGTACTTCAGCTCCTGCGCCATCCTCTCCCGGTTCCCGTACTTCAAGAACCTAAGCAGGGGCGGGAAGAGAGAAAGAAAATACAGAATTTGATTCAAACTCGCACTTGAATATTTTGAAGTATTGTCTGCTTGGCTTTTAGAAGCAGCTTGATGTTGCATAGATTAACCCAGGGGACTTCAAACGTGGCCCTTTGATGACTTGTGGACTTCAACTCCCAGAATTCCTCAGCCAGGCACGCGTGCCTGGCTGAGGAATTCTGGGAGTTGAAGTCCACAAGTCATCAAAGGGCCAAGTTTGAAGACCCCCGTCTTAAATCTAACAAACAAAATGGAGGCTGGCTGAGGAATTCTGGGAGTTGAAGTCCACAAGTCATCAAAGGGCCAAGTTTGAAGACCCCTGTCTTAAATCTAACAAACAAAATGGAGGCTGGCTGGAGGAATTCTGGGAGTTGAAGTCCACAAGTCATCAAAGGGCCACGTTTGAAGACCCCTGTCCTAAATCTAACAAATAAAATGGAGGCTGGCTGAGGAATTCTGGGAGTTGAAGTCCACCAGTCATCAAAGGGCCAAGTTTGAAGACCCCTGGAGAAATATAGTCCCTTCTGCGTAAGAACATTTCCAAATAGTAGAAAAATGGATCATTTTTCATCAATTAACAGTTACCTCTTCTAAACCCCTCAAAAAAAACCCCGCCCCCTTACACCTTGGAAATGCCTTCTTTATTAATAAAAATGACTCCCTTAAAACTTGTTCTTCATCTAACAATCAACAGTTGCGCACTCAATTCTTCAGGAAGAGAAAGAGTAACACACTCGGTTGTCCAAAGCGCTGATCCAACAATGTGATCGTTTTTAATGGTGCGGTGAATGGAATTAAATTAAAACAGGACCTGACGTGGAATCCAGGTTTTTTTACATCTGAGGCCCATCCCTGCTTTCCTGGAAAAGGATGTTTATGGGGGTTGATTTTACCCACGTTTAAAACAGAAGGGGCCTTTGCAAAAGAAATGAAATAAACTGACAGGAAGAAGGCAGCCAGATCGTGTTGAATTACATCCGAGACACGGGCAGAGTTATACATGACTGAAGCAAGGGGGACGGTGAAGTAGAAAAATGCCACTTATGATCAAAGTCCGCACCGTTTCATTTGTGTATGCCTCTGCTGGATGAAGTTGGCACCGGGATGAATTTCTGGACCATTTCGAACAAGTTTCCTCATAAAGCCGATGTTGGCTTTGTTTACCTGCAGCAGGAAGAGAGAGAGAGAAAAAAAAGAGGAAATACACCTTCAAAGCTCCAGTGTGTAATGAAGAAAAAAACAAACCTTTATGATGATCTAAAGAACAGGATACATAGAGGATGTCCTCAGAGTTGGCAAAATAAGATAAACGTGTCAATATTATGTAAAATGTAATAAATAGGTCAAAGTTAATATATGGCATCAACATCACCACCACGACCACCGCCAGACCTGGGACAGGGGCTGTCATAATGCTCCCGTCGTTACAAAAAATAAATTCTGACTTATTTTAGTCCTGCTGGGTTGCAGTTAACAGAATAACAGGTGAACAAAATAACAGAGTTGAAAAGTACTTTAGAGGTCATCTAGTCCAACCCCCTGCTCAGGCAGGAAACCCTATACCATTTCAGACAAATGGCTGTCCGGTCTCTTCTTAAAAGCGTCCAGTGATGGAGCATTCACCACTTCTGGAGACAGGCTGTTCCACTGGTTAACTGTTCTAACAGTCAGGAAGTTTCTCCTTAATTCCAGGTTGCTTCTCTCCTTGGTTAGTTTCCTTCTGTTGCTTCTTGTCCTGCCTTCAGGCGCTTTGGAGAATAGCTTGACTCCCTCTTCTTTGGGGCAGCCCCTGAGATATTGGAAGGCTGCTATCATGTCCCCCCTCGTCCTTCTCTTCATTAAACTAGACATACCCAATTCCTGCAACTGTTCTTCCTATGTTATAGCCTCCAGTCTTTTAATTATCTTTGTTGCTCTTCTCTGCACTCTTTCCAGAGTCTCAACATCTTTCTTACATCGTGGTGACCAAAACTGGATGCAGTATTCCAAGTGTGGCCTTCCCAAGGCGTTGTAAAGCGGTACTAACCCTTCAGCTGATTTTGATTCTATCCCTGTCAATGCAGCCTAGGCGTCGTTTTAATTCGAGTCAAAGAAAGGGCGAAATCTTTCATGGAGGGCACCTTGGAGAGGGCTTCTACACCCAAGGGCCCCAACCACAGAGAGTAAGGGAGGAGGTCATTCCCGCTTACCTTCTCGGGAAAGGTGAGAATCTTTGCCACGTGCACAGGTACAGCCACCTCATCAATTCTCAGGTTAGGATCAGGAGAGATAACCGTTCTGCCTGAGAAATCGACTCGCTTTCCAGACAAGTTTCCCCTAAACCGGCCTTAAAAATTAAAAAAAAGGAAAGGAAAGAGGGGAAAATGAGATGTTGTAAGTCAAGGACAACCTGTACATACAGGAGTGGCCAACATTGTGGAAATGTTTTGGGAAAAGTGTACAGTAGAAATGCCACCTTTGGTTAAGCTTCCACCATTTTTTCTTCTAATTTCTTTATAACTGTAGCCTTGTTCACTTAATAATACTATTTTGCATCGCTTTCTGGGCAACCAGTCAACTCTTTGCCCCATGACTTTAATTTTATTACGTTTTACAAGCTCACTCAATGAAAGAACACCAAAAAACCCAGCCAACTTGATAGCCATCCCATAACACACTGACAAACGTCCTCCTCTCAGCTTCAATACAGGCCATCAATAACTGGATCCTACTGTGATCTGATTGGCTCATGGCCAAAACAAGATGACACCCGATTGGCTCTCTAAACACTCATGCTCATTGGCTACAATCGGATGAAGGAAAGCTACCTGAGATCAAACTGAGCAAGTTGTGCTTCCTTTTTCTGGTTATTTGGCTATACTTTTTCATAGAATACAGTACAGATAATTGAACAAACTTTGTCACGTTACGTTCTTGATTAAATTATCTTTCCATTGATATATAATTTTAGGGTACTACTCCAAAAAGAAAGTGGTGTTATTAGCTATCCAACCTCAAAAATACACTTTTCCCAAAAGGTTTCCACAATTTTGGCCACTACTGTATGTATCAGGGTGACCAGAGATGACAACGAGACTTGGATTAATGGCTTACGGCGGGCCCACAAAGATGGAGATAGGTAAGACCAACCTTGCTTCCCCTTCAGCCTTTGAACAAAGCCTCTGGTCCATTTCTTGGGCGCCATGTTGAGGGGGATGCCGGAAAGTTCGCTGTTAATATACAGGGCACATTGTAGCTGCAGGAAATCCCAGTCTTCCATTATCATCTGAGTTTTGGCTCCCGATATTCTATGCTGAACGGACAGGAGCCAGCCGAAAAAGCCAAAACAAAACAAAACAAAACAAAGACAGATTAAAAAACCATTGCATATAATCAAAGTTTCACTCTAGCTAGCACATTATGTGCAGCAAGTGGAAGGACTGCATACTTAAACAGCCTTAAATAAAAGGCTTCCCACTCCATTTTTTACAAATCATATTTTAAAGCGAGAGGGGAGGGGTAAGAGGGGTATTGTAATAATATATGACCAATTTTCTTTATCATTTTTTTTAAGGAAACAACGTGGAGTTATTTCCCTTTTTTTTCCAAAGTGGAAGTGGGGGGGGGGGAGAAAATGCAAATAAAAACCAAATAATCAAAGGGAAAAAAGCTTTCTTCCGCTGTAGGCTGCAGGAAGCAAAACAAGAAGCCACCTTTTTGATCACATCGTTCAGGAAAATGATTTCCGTCAGCTTCATCGTTAGATCGTCCTCGTTGGTGCCGGACTTCAAGTCGCTGATCACGGAAGGCCGAATGCACAGCGGGGGGACCAGAAGGCGGGTCAGGATCAAGTCGGAAGGCTTCCCCGATTCGGGGTTCATCAGGAGCAGAGGGATGTCTTCTGCAGGGATCCTCTTCAGGATGTTCAGCACCATCAGCGGGTTCAGGTTCTCCTGGAAGATTCAGAAACAAGAGGGTCACATTCTTGCCCAGTCGCCCCCACATGGGGGTCTTGACAACTCACCACGGCCAACGTGCCATGGCCAACTCACAGTAACCAACTCAATACAGCCAACTTGCCATGGTCAACTCAGTACAGCCAATTCACTACAGCCAACTCACCATAGCCAACTCAATACAGCCAACTTGCCATGGTCAACTCAGTACAGCCAACGCACCACGGCCAACTCACTACAGCCAACTCGTTGTAACCAACTTACCATGGCCAACTCAATACAGCCAACTTACCTTGGCCAATTCACTACAGCCAACTCACCATGGCCAACTCAATACAGCCAACTTGCCATGGGCAACTCAGTACAGCCAACTTGCCATGGGCAACTCAGTACAGCCAACTTGCCATGGTCAACTCAGTACAGCCAACTTGCCATGGTCAACTCAGTACAGCCAACGCACCACGGCCAACTCACTACAGCCAACTTGCCGTAACCAACTTACCATGGCCAACTCAATACAGCCAACTTGCCTTGGCCAATTCACTACAGCCAACTCACCATGGGCAACTCAATACAGCCAACTTGCCCTGGCCAATTCACTACAGCCAACTTGCCACGGCCAACTCAATACAGCCAACTTGCCATGGTCAACTCAGTACAGCCAACTTGCCATGGTCAACTCAATACAGCCAACTTGCCATGGTCAACTCAGTACAGCCAACTTGCCCTGGCCAATTCACTACAGCCAACTCACCATGGGCAACTCAATACAGCCAACTTGCCATGGTCAACTCAGTACAGCCAACTTGCCACGGCCAACTCAATACAGCCAACTTGCCCTGGCCAATTCACTACAGCCAACTCACCATGGGCAACTCAATACAGCCAACTTGCCATGGTCAACTCAGTACAGTCAACTTGCCACGGCCAACGTGCCATGGCCAACTCACTACAGTCAACTCACTGTGGCCAACTCAATACAGCCAACTGGGCGTGGTCAACTCAGTACAGCCAACACACCATGGCCAACTCAGGGGAAACCCAGGATTCACTTCACAACCGTGTTACTAACTTAACAACTGCAGTGATTCACTTAACAACTTGTGGCAGGAGAGGTTGTAAAATGGGGCAAAGCTCACTTCACTACACCTTGCTTAGCAACGGAAAGTTTGGGTTCAGTTCTGGCCGTCAGTAAAGGACAACTTATAGTCTGCTGACCCTACAAAAAAAATCAAACAACGTTTAAGATAATTTACTCTCCTGTGATGTTTCAATCTAGGCAATCCTCGAATTACAACAGCTCGTTTAATGATTGTTTGAAGTCACGATGAAACTGAAAAAAAAGTGACTTGTGACCGTTTTTCACACTTGCGACCGCTGCAGCTTCACATTATCAGAATTCAGATACTTGGCAACTGGCTCACATTTATGACGGTCACAGTGTCCCGGGATCGTGTGATTCCCTTTTGCAACCTTCTGACAAGCAAAGTCAATGGGGGAAGCCAGAGTCACTTAACAGCAGTGTTACTGACTTAACGGCTGCCATGATTCATTTAACAACGGTGGAAGAAAGGTCATAAAATGGGGCAAAACTCACTTAACAAATGTCTTGCTTAACAACAAGAGATTTGGGGCTCAACTGTGGTCGTAACCCGAGAACTACTTACTTGTACTTTCCTAATCCTACAAAAAAACCGAAGATCATTTTCTCTCCTGTGATGCTTCAAGACAAGTCAACGCCCAAGGCACACAAACCTCCATGGGAATCTCACATGCCAACAGAAACCTGGATTACCGTAGAGAAGGGGAAAACCGGGCTAACATATGGTTTGAGATGTCTTGGGGCTCACCTGGGCTTTCCCCAGCAAAGCTTCAATCTCCTTGTTATGCTCTATCGCCGTGTCGAAAGACTGGATGAAATGAGACACAACGGGGTCCACAATCTTTTTGGTGGTCTTGTACTTCTCGTGGATTATCTTCAGCAAGCCACACTTCTTCACAGTACCTGCAAGGGAACAAGGGTTCAAGCCAAGGTTGACCCCAATCCTCTCTTTCATTGAACATTTGCTGCTCGGCACACAAAACAGGAACGGAAAGATGGTGCAATTGTTACGGTTTCCAGTATGTGAAGAATGAGCGCGTTCAGTTCAAGTTAGCATCAGGAATACTAATGTTCAAGATGGCCAATTTGGTAACGTGGTTAAAGACACTGGCTAGAAGCTGGGCAAGCCGACCAGCTGACTTTGGGCCAGTTACTTTCTCTCCGCCTTAGGAAGGAGACAGGGGCAAACCGCTTCTGAAAAATATTGCCAAGAAAACCGCAGGGATTTGTCAAGACTGACAAACAATCTTGCAAATCCCCTTGACAATAAAAATGACACCTTGCCTGAAGATGCAGAAACATCTGAAGCCTAAGATATAATAATATATCGACTTTGAAACAGTGTCACATAAATGTCCCAAAGGTGCTTTTTTCAGGAGGCAACTGGACTTTCTTGTTTTTCTCTGAAGATGTTTCGCTTCTCATCCAAGAAGCTTCTTCAGCTCTGACTGGATGGTGGGGAATGGAAGGATTTATACTCCTTGCAGACGGCTGGTCATTTGCATCCTTTTAGAGAGTCCTTGAGGCCACTTGGAGGGTTACCTGTGTCCTCAGGGTCACCTGAGTGGTGCAAATGGGTGTGGAGCCTTTTTGGAGCTGCTGAAAGGACACAAGATTCACAGCTGAACCTGACAACGTTCCCCAGCAAAGGATTAAAGAGTCGTGGCAGCACAGTGGTTAGAATGCAGTACTGCAGGCTAATTCTTTCAACTGCCCGCAGTTCGATCCTGACTGGCTCAAGGTTGACTCAGCCTCCCATCCCTCCGAGGTCAGTAAAATGAGGACACAGATTGACTTTGTCAACAGGCTGACTTTGTAAAACCGCTTAGAGAGGGCTGTAAAGCACTGTGAAGTGGTATATAAGTCTAAGTGCTATTGCTAAGTAGGTAGGTAGGAAGGAAGGAAGGAAGGAAGGAAGGAAGGAAAAAGAAGGGAAGAAGGAAGGAAGGAAGGAAGGAGCTGTGGTGGTGCAGTGGTTAGAATGCAGTATTGCATTCACTGCCTACAGCCAGGAGTTCAATCCTGACCAGCTCAAGGTTGACTCAACCTCCCGTCCTTCTGAGGTGGGTAAAATGAGGACCCAGATTGCTGGGGGCAAATAGGCTGACTCTGTAAACTGCTTAGAGAGGGCTGTAAAGCACTGTGAAGCGGTATATAAGTCTAAGTGCTATTGCTAAGTGGGAGGGAGGGAGGGAGGGAAGGAAGGAAGGAAGGAGCTGTGGTGGTGCAGTGGTTAGAATGCAGTATTGCAGACTAATTCACTGTCCACAGCCAGGAGTTCGATCCTGACCGGCTCAAGGTTGACTCAGCCTTCCATTCTTCTGAGGTCGGGAAAAGGAGGACCCAGATTGCTGGGGGCAAATAGGCTGACTCTGTAAAACTGCTTAGAGAGGGCTGTAAAGCACTGTGAAGCGGTATATAAGTCTAAGGGCTATTGACACCTGCTGAACTCCACGTGTCAATTCCAACCGACAGAAGGGGTTGAGAACCAAACCTACCGTTGAAAGCACCACAATGTGGGCACGTGTTCTTCTTCCTGCATTTTTCGGAGACCTTTTTCTTCAAGCCCCTTTTCTGGAGATAGGTCAAACCAGGTCTCTTCAGATAATCCAAAAACTGTTTCTGTTCTTCGGCAGTCAGCAAGATATGGCAACAAGTTTTGCAAATCATCTAAAAAAAAAAGGAGGAGAAAAATCTTTAAAGTCAGGTTTCCTAGAGCAAAAGAAACAACGAACCTCTTGGCTTTAATAAATACATATACAGAGATGCTTGCATTCCTGCCCATTTCCAAACTGAATGCAAAGAACTGTGCAGCTTGACAGCAGTTCGAGCAAAAGATGCTCCCGCGACAGCTTTTGACTTGACCTTACCTGGAGGATCCCTATCACAGCTTTGAAGTATCCCACGTGAAAACAAGGTAACTCCAGGTCGATGTAGCCATAATGCCCCAAACATTCTGCCAGATTTTTTCCACAGGTCTTACAGGGACGGTCTTTTTCACTTGTACCCTTGCGTAAAAGAATAAAAAAAGAATGGATGGAGATGAACCTTTGTCAAGGCACTATTAGACAAATCAGACTTTTCCCTAAAATTAAAAACAAAGAATTTCAGAAACAGAAATAAGACACATGACCGCTCTACAGCCTTTACAATCTTCCCAGGAGCTGAAGTGGAGATATCTAGAAAAAAAAAATAGCAGGTCTGGAATACCTCAAAGTCACTTACAGCACAAAGAATTTATTTCCAGCCAATGCTTACAACTATTCTCCTGAAAAGCTGGATCTGGAGAAAAATGGAACATTTCATTTCGCTCCAGAATAGCCCATTTCCAGATTCACAACTCTTAAGGATAGTGATAATCCCAGAAGGTAATACTATCATTATAAAAATATACAATGATATGAGCTTGCACAGGAACAAATGATAAAGAAACAAAACTGAATATTATATAATTCGCTAAATGAAGCCTCAAACACTGATTGGCTCAGTATGGTCAGGAAATACAAGAGGAACATAGACAAATCGTAGCCTCTCTGTTTTAAAGCTGCCCCCCCATGAGCTTTAATGATTTCTCGGTTCCAATCAGCTGAACACTTCCTAGGTTTTAGTTTACCACATCCTGGCTTATTCTGAAACTCTTCAGGTATTTACTCCCTCAGTGTCACTTCTGACATGCCCAAGCAATAGAACACAGTCAAACTAGAGTCTTGGACTTCAAGAGAGCTAATTTCAATAAACTTAGAGAGGGATTGGGAAGGATTCCATGGATGAGAATCCTTAAGGGGAAAACAACTCAAGAAGCTTGGGAAATTTGGAAAAACGAGATAATAAAAGCCCAGTCTAGCACAATACCAACAAAGAGGAAAAATAAAAGCTCTCAAAAGAAACCAGCATGGCTGCATAAAGAACTCTCTGACAAATTGAAAGATAAAAAGGACAAGTATAGAAAGTGGAAAGAGGGGCACATAACTAAGTCAGAATATCAGCAAATAGCCCGAGCCTGCAAAGGTCCCTTCCAACTTTACTATTATTATTATTATTATTAAATCAGACTGAGCACCTAGAAGGCTTACCAGGCGATGGTCCAAGACGCCATATTGAAGAGGCGAGTGGTTATCTTGGCTGTACAGATTTTTACTGACCACCTGGATGTGAGCCTGTTGCCGCATTTCTTCAGGAGACTTCATCCCAAAGCAAATGTGGCTTCTAGAACAAAAACAAAACAAAACACAGAATGTCATGAGGTAGAGATACAGAATAACAAAATGACAAGAGTTGGAAGGGACCTTGGAGGTCATCTAGTCCAACCCCCTGCTCAGGCAGGAAACCGTGTACCATTTCGGACAAATGGCTGTCCAGTCTCTTCTTAAAAACTTCCAGTGTTGGCGCATTCACCGCTTCTGGAGGCAGGTTGTTCCACCGGTTAATAGTTCAAACTGTCAGGAAGTTTCTCCTTAGTTCTAGGTTGCTTCTCTCCTTGATCAGTTTCCACCCATTGCTTCTCGTCCTGCCTTCAGGCGCCTTGGAGAATAGCTTGACTCCCTCTTCTTTGGGGCAGCCCCTGAGATATTGGAACACTGCTATCATGTCCCCCCTCGTCCTTCTCTTCGTTAAACTAGACATCCCCAATTCCAGCAACCGTTCCTTATATGTTTTAGCCTCCAGTCCCCTGATCATCTTTGTTGCTCTTCTCTGCACTCTTTCTAGAGTCTCAGCATCTTTTTTTATATCATGGTGACCAAAACTAGTCCTTGGTGATTATTTTCAAATCTCACCCAGTGCGGAATAAGGTGCTTCCTCCCCAGGCAATTTTTTTTTTTTTTAAATCAGGGTGCAAACTTCCAAAGTTATACCTGGTACCCTTCTAAGCATAATTTTACAAACCTGCCCTTAAGGCATAACAAAGCAACTAAGTGCAACTAAAGTAAGAAATTTTAATTCTTCCATGTACTAATCTGCAATATCAACCAAAACCTTTTCCGTTAAGCATATCCTGGAATTATTTTTTTTTGGGGGGGGGCTGTTTTCCAGTAAACAACACTGAAAAAGCTCAAAAATGGAATTAGGTAGATAGGTAGGTAGGTAGTTATAGATAGATTAGATAGATAGATAGATAGATAGATAGATAGATAGATAGATAGATGATAGATAGAGAGATAAATAGATAGATAGATAGATAGATAGATAGATAGACAGACTAGATATAGATAGATGAGAGAGAGAGATAAATAGATAGAGAGATAGATAGATGATAGATAGATAGATAGATAGATAGATGAGAGAGAGATGATACAGATATAGATATAAATGGATAGATAGATAAATAGATAGATAAATAGATAGATGGGTGGGTGGGTGGGTGGGTGGGTGGATGGATGGATGGATAGATATAGATAGATAGATAGATATAGATAGAGAGATAAATAGATAGATATAGATAGATAGATAGATAGATAGATAGATAGATAGATAGATAGATAGATAGATATAGATAGAGAGATAAATAGATAGATAGATAGATAGATATAGATAGATAGATAGATAGATAGATAGATAGATAGATAGATATAGTTAGATAGATAGATAGATAGATATAGATAGATAGAGAGATAAATAGATAGATAGATAGATGATAGACAAGACAGATAGATATGATGGATAGATAAAACCCACGCATGCGCACAACCCCCCACTCTCCCAGCCCGACTCCGGGGCCCCTCACATTTTCTTGGCCACGTCCGTCTCGCGGAACTGCTCCTTCCCCATGGCTCCGGCCAGCCCGGCGGCGACGAAGGCGGCGGGGAGAACTCCCGGCCCGCAGCCACCCACGCCGTAGTGACGTCGCCGCCGGAGCGACGTCGGACGCTGCCCCGATGACGTCACGGGCAAGACGGCAGGCAGCCCCGGGAGAACCCGGAAGTTGAGGAAGGCGCCTTCTGATAGACGGCAAGAGTGGGCGGGGCGAAGTATAAACCCAGGGGAGTGAGTGTGTGTGTGTGTGAGAGAGAGTCTCTTGATAGAAACAGGAATGGATGGTAGATAGATAGATAGGTAGGTAGGTAGGTAGACAGGTAGATAGATAGATAGATAGATAGATAGATAGATAGATAGATAGATAGGTAGGTAGGTAGGTAGGTAGGTAGGTAGATAGACAGGTAGGTAGGTAGGTAGGTAGACAGGTAGGTAGGTAGACACAGACAGATAGACAGGTAGGTAGGTAGGTAGGTAGGTAGACAGACAGACAGACAGGTAGGTAGGTAGGTAGATAGATAGGTAGGTAGGTAGATAGATAGGTAGGTAGGTAGGTAGATAGACAGGTAGGTAGGTAGGTAGGTAGACAGACAGATAGACAGGTAGGTAGGTAGGTAGATAGATAGATAGACAGGTAGGTAGGTAGCTAGGTAGATAGATAGATAGATAGATAGATAGATAGATAGATAGATAGATAGATAGATAGATAGATAGATAGATAGACAGACAGACAGGTAGGTAGATAGACAGGTAGGTAGGTAGGTAGGTAGATAGATAGACAGACAGGTAGGTAGATAGATAAGATAATGGATAGATGAATACATTGATTGATAGATATAGATTGATAAAGATAGATGGATAAAGAGACGATAGACGAATATAGATAATATGGATAGATGAATAGATTGATGTAGATAGATTGATAGATAAAGATACATGGCCAGATGACTAGATATAGAGAATAGATGGATAGATTGATATAGATTAATAGATAAAGAGATGGATAGATGAATATAAATAATATATGGATAGATGGATTGATACAGATAGATAGGTATTGATAGATTATAGATATTGATGATTGATAAAATAGATGAATAGATGAATATAAATAATGGCTAGATGAGTAGATTATATAGATGATTGATCTAGATGATAGATTGATATAGATGATAGATGAATGGATGATAGGTGTCTCTTAACTGATTGAGATAAAAAGTCTCTTGATAGGATGGATAGATAGATGATAATTAAAGGTAATAGGTATAAAGAAATTTGATAGATAAAGTAGTCTCTTAGAAAGTTCCTTGATGGAGGAGAATAGATAGGTGACATTTAAAAGTAATAGAAAGAAATTTGATAAACGAGTCTCTTGACTGATTGATAGAAATATATAGAAATAGAAAAAAAATTGATGGATAGGTGAGTGGGTAGTTAATAGATATATAGAATTTGATATATTCTAGAAGGATACATGGGGAATCTCTTGCTAGATTAGCTATCTATAACTTCATACAGTATAACCGCACAACAATTCAATGTTTTGGAAAATAAGTTGAACCCCCTCTTCTTTGTGGCAGCCTCTCAAATATCCCATAAGATCTCCTGCAGGAATCACTATTTCCGTCTTTCTCCATACAATATACGAATGAGAGCTTCGTGATCCACACGCAATACCATTCAACCAGGTAGGAGGACTAACAAGTGCCTCTCTTTCCCCCAGCTCTCTGGTTTCCCGGAAGGCCTTTTCCTCCACCAGCGGAAATCCCTCCTTTTCCGCTAGGGCGCTTCCTTTTCCTTTCCTCTCCGGCATATGATTGGCTACCGGAGGTACCTTCTTTCCTTTTCTCTCTCTCTGGGCTGCGAGGGAGGCCGTCAAGATGGTGAGTGCTGGCGCTGGAGGTTCTCGGCACCGGGAGGCGCCTTCAATCCGTCCCGCCCTGGCGCCATCCTTGGTCCTCCGGACCGCGGACCGCCTGCCTTCCCTTCCGCGGGGGCTAGGGAGTGTTTTAGGGGGATTATGGGCTGGAGGGAAGGGGGCGAAGTTGCCGGCGCCGGGGCTTCCCCGTGGTCCCCGCTCCTCTGCCGCGGCCAGCCTCTCGCTCTCATCTCCCCCTCCCAATTTATTCATCTGAGCTACTGCCCAGCATGAGGGGCGCCAGGTTGGGGAACGGGGGGGGGTCGTCTGTGCTCCAAAATGGGCCTCTAAATTGCCCCCCCCTTTTTTTCAACTCTGCACACTTCCAGAGGTTGATACCTGTGCACGCTCAGCTTTTTTTAAAATAAGTTATAACTTATTATATATACACGTGTGTATATATATATATGTTTTTGTATAGGTGTGTACATGTATAAATATATATAATTGAAAATTAAAAGAATTCTCAACTGTTTTAATAATTTATACGTGTGTGTGTATGTATATGTGTGTATACATATAGAAATAAAATTAATTCTCAACTCAACTTTTTAAAATTATAATTTATTATATATGTGTTTGTATATATGTATGTATGTGTGTGTGTATAAATATAAAAATTCTCAACTCAACTTTTTTTAATAAATTATAATGTATTATATATATCTCTGTATATATATAATAAAATATTTAATTCTCAACTCAACTTTTTAAAATTATAATTTATTATATATGTGTTTGTATATATGTATGTATGTGTGTGTGTATAAATATAAAAATTCTCAACTCAACTTTTTTTAATAAATTATAATGTATTATATATATCTGTGTGTATATATATAATAAAATATTTAATTCTCAACTCAACTTTTTAAAATAAATTATAATGTATTATATATATATATATATCTGTGTGTATATATATGTGTGCGTGTGTGTATAAATATAAAAAATAATTCTCAACCTTTTTTAATAAATTATAATTTAGTGTGTGTGTGTGTGTGTGTATTAAAAGAATACCTAGTTCTTTTAAAGAGGGATCCTTTGGATTAGTTATGGGCGAAATGAAATGCTTTACTTGAATTTTTATTTTGTTTTACTTTTCATGCTAGAACGACACAGTCACCATCCGAACGAGGAAGTTCATGACAAACAGGCTGCTTCAACGTAAGCAAATGGTAAGTAACGTGTGTTTTGTGGCCTATAAGGTGGGACTCCAGGGGATTGAATATTTACAACAATGTAGCGACAAAAAGATTGTGTTGATCTTTCTGGAGGCAGAAAAAGCTCTTGACAGTTTGAACCGGTCTGTCATAAATTCTTGACCTCCTGAATCTTGCCTTCAGACATCGTGGGTGCTCCATCGCTGGAGAATTTTAAGAAGAAGCTAGACAATCACTTGTCTGAGATGCTATAGGGTCTCCTGCTTGAGCAGGGGGCTGGACTAGAAGACCTCCATGGTCCCTTCCAGCTCTATTCAATTCTTCTTTCCTTCCCTCCCTTCCTTCCTTCTAGTGAAACAGCTTGTCTCCAGAAATCGTGGGTGCTCCATCACTGGAGATTTTTAAGAAGAAGGTAGACAACCACCTGTCTGAGGTGGTATAGGTTCTCCTGTTTGAGCAGGGGGCTGGACTAGAAGACCTCCAAGGTCCCTTCCAGCTCTATTCTAAATGTCCAGAGAACTGTCAATCTTTCACGTGAGAGTGTGGTGGACAGAACGACTAGAATTCAAATTTTGACAAGGTTACTTGGCAAACAGATTCAGTAATCTATTGACTGTACAGCATTTCCCAGACATAACAAAGGAGAGTTTTTCAGTCATTAAATATTGCATTATTATTTTTCTGTGCAGGTAGTCCTGTAGTGTCCCCCAAATTTCTGTTGTTAAGTGAGACACTTGTTAAGTGACTTTTGCCCCATTTTACGACCTTTCTCGCCTCCGTTGTGAAGTGAATCGCTGCAGGTGATAAGTGAGTAACCCGGTTGTTAAGTGACACCGGCTCCCCCATTGACTTTGCTTGTCAGAAGTTTTCAAAAGGGGACACTACGACCGTCATAAATATGAGCCAGTTGCCAAACATCTGAATTTTGATGGGTGCTGCAGTGGTCATAACTGTGAAAAACAGTCCTAGGTCATTTTTCTTTTCAAGGCCATTGTAACTTTGAACGGTCACTAAATGAACTGTTGTAAATTGAGGACTGCCTGTATTGAGAGCTTTGCAAAGGGTGTAACCAGGGTGTATGTTTTGCAGAGACAGGTATACAAATGAGTGCTGACACAATCAAAAGGCATTAAATTACTTCCAGGCGAGGTTTTTAGCATACAATGGACCCGTTTCGTTTTTGAATTTTTGTCTCTCTGTCTGCAGAAGCAGCCTCTACTGTTGCTGTCTTTCTTCACTCCCTCTACAAACACCCCCCACCCCCCCAAAAAAATTCATTTTTAATCTGAAACTACTCTTATGTATAGGTTGACCTATAAGCCTAAAATTGAAGCATTGCATATTTCTGGCCTAGGTTTCACGTTTGAGGCTGAATTTTTAACGTGCTTATGAGCCCTCTCTCTGCCACTAAAATATTTTTTCTCCCAGGCAAAAAAAAAGAAGCTTTGAATTTATTTATTTCTTTATTTATTTTTCCACTCCTGAATGTGTAGGTAATCGATGTCCTTCACCCTGGAAAAGCCACCGTTCCCAAAACAGAAATCCGCGAGAAGTTGGCCAAAATGTACAAGACGACTCCGGACGTCATTTTTGTCTTCGGCTTCAGGACCCATTTTGGTGGTGGGAAGACCACGGGCTTCGGCATGATCTACGATTCTCTAGACTACGCCAAGAAAAACGAACCAAAGCATAGACTGGCCAGGGTAGGTAGTTTTTAAACTTTTTTTTCCCCTTGGAATATGGACCGTGTTGGGATAAAAAGGAATTTTTACTCCGGTTGCATGGCACTTTTGTGTAAGTTTGGAGTTAAAGAGGCACTTTTTCCTCTCCTGGTTCCGTTAATTAAATATCAATTAAAATACCAATTTCTTTCCCCCCGCCCACTATTCCAACCGATATATAAAATAAATCGTTATTCTTTATTGCTTTTTGCTGCAGATTTGGCAATGGCCAAAAAAAAACCAAGCAAAGTGAGAACAAGATGGATTTCCTTCCAAACCACTACAGTTTTGTGTGTTTGGACATAGTGAGATAGGATTGTGCAAGTAGAAATCTAGAAAGCGTTAGCATCCCTTCGGCTGCTGTGTTAAATTGCCGCTTCCCCTGTTAAATACCAATTTCTGAACGTGCTTCCACCACTGCTCAAATGTTTTTGCACATTTCTTTTAACCAAAAGATGTCATTGTAAACTCCTAAATTAAGGTTGTATTTTTTTTTGTTGCGTGTCCCCTTTCTCTGTGCTAAGAGTGATTTGTGTAAAACGGTTTATAACGGGCGAGTAAGTGGGATGGCGCAAACCACTAGCTATTATTACCTTTGACGTGTATTTTGAAAATACAAATGATCTTTAACTGAAGTCTAGTTCTTTGTTTAGAAGTAGGTCACTTGCCTACAAATAATGGTTGTTGTTTTTTTGTATGAGTTGGATACTTGAATAGCGGCTCATTGTGAATTGGGAATCACTACTAGCTCATCATTTCTGGAAAGAATCATCCTTACAAACCTTTAGATTTTGCGAAAGAAAGAATGGAATGCAGATGTTTTAAGCTAAATACACTTTATTCTTTATCTGCTTATATCCTGCCTTTATTCATTTTTATAAATAAGACAGTGAAGACACATAATATTCCTTCTCTTTTTTCCCCCCAACACAACAATCTTATGAGGTGGGTTTGACTGAGAGAGAGAGAGAGACTGGCCAAAAGTCACCCAGCTGACTTTCCTGGCTAAGGCAAGGCTAAAATTCCCAATCTCCTGGTTTCCAACTTGGTGCCTTCCCAACCTGACCAAACCGGCTCTGTTTGGCAGTCAATTGGCTCTGCAGGTGTATATGTGGCATTGGATAAATAGGTTATTTAATGACATTTATTGGCCGCCCGTCTTATCATAGGGTAACTCTGGGCGGCTTGCAAGTTACACAAAATTCAAAACTTAAAATATTAAAACCTAAGGATACATGGGGAGGGCGGGGGCGGAGTGGGGCGGAAGCCGGATCTGTTATGACTCAATCAACCACCTCCATTGTGTGGTCCCCCCACTGGAGCGCCAAGCCGACTGGCACAGCCAGGTGTTCAGGTCCTTACAAAAAGATCGGAGGGTTGGGGCCAACCTCACATGGGGCGGGCAGAGGGCAGAGAAGGCCCTCCTTCTGAACCCCACTAGCCGGATAAATCGGGCTGATGGGACCCCCGCAGCATGCCTCAAGTAACCTGGACCCCTACCATAAAGGCCTTTAATTGCTCCCGGAGTACAGACTGGTAACCAGTGCAGCAATGGTGTCACAGGGGCCATTCTTGCTTTTTTCCCACCCACCCCCCAAAAAACTACCCGCGCTGCCGCACTCCCCACCAGTTGTAGCTTCTGAAGGCTCTTCCAGGGTGAGCCCCATGTAGACCGCGTTACAGCAGTCCAGTCGTGAGACGACTGAGTGCGCGTGCCAGAAACGTCGGTGTGTAAGGTTCATGTCCCGCTCGTTGTCTTCGCCAGCACGGCTTGTACGAAAAGAAGAAGACGTCCCGGAAACAGCGCAAAGAGCGTAAGAATAGGATGAAGAAGGTCAGAGGAACCGCGAAGGCCACGGTGGGCGCCAGCAAGAAGGTAAGGACCTTTCCCCTCCCCCCCCAAAAAATTTAGAAAACGCTCATCAGACACCGTTGTTGCTGCTTGGCTTATTTCATTGACCAAAGTACTCTCTTTTTTTTTTCCCTCGCCAATTTCCCATCTTTCACCACTGGCGCACAGAAGGTAATTCTCGTTCACTTTGTTTCGGCTTTGTAGCTAACAAAGTGAAACGATAAAAGGCATTTTTTAGAATTTCCATAGAAACAGGGTTTTTAGAGCATGTCTCTCTTTTTTTCCTGTCTTTCTCTTTTTCCTCGTGATGCATCTAGCTTCCTCATTAGCTTTCTTTACCTTGTCAAATCCTGCTTTATTTTCAGATTTTATTTTAATTTTTTTTAGAATTGAGAAATAATTTCCTTCCGGCCAGTGGTTGGCAGGTCGAAATTAAAATGCTCATTAGCCTGGCATTTAATGAGATTGGAAATGTACGCCGAATATAATTTTGCCTTCAGGAGAGAAAGAGTTAACAGGCTTTTAACAGATGTTGGTTAAAATTGGCATTTAAGAAGAGAGAGAGATATATACAAATGTGCCATTTTATCAGTGACATAATGTTTAGATTCTGGAATAGCCTATTTAGGATTAGAACATCCTGGGCCACTGTATTTTTTTGTGTGGGATTCCTTTCAAAGGTTGTGGGTTTTCAAGCTTTTCATTCAGCTAGATTTTAGGTGCTTTTAAAGTAAATCCTCCCAGTTAATAACTCTTTGCTTTCACTTCTCTTTTCTACCTCTTGGATTTCTTCTTAATCAGAAATGAGGTGTTTGGTAGGTATGGAGAATGAGCGCATGGTTGTGATGGCATGAGCTGAGTGTCCCTCAACATGTTCTCCCGATGCTCCTTGCTTTCCATGGGTTTTCGTTTTGTAGCTGAGCTTCTGTGTCTTGCGCACGTTTAGTTTATTAATTTTGTATCCTGCCCATCTCACTCTGCAAAGCATCTCTGATCTAGCTCCAGGTAGATGTGCTATAGACTCATAAGCGCTTGTTCCTGTATTCAAATTTATTTCATATTTAGTTTGAACTGTTATTACCGAGGTTCTGTGGGAAATACCTGCAAGATTCCTTTGAGCTAGCTAATTATAATTAAAAGGGGAAAAAACGACACTCTAGATTTCTCTCCTTTTCATAGAACGGGAAGAAAATTTCCCCTGTTTTCCTTATAAGTTACTGGTAAAAACTTGAAGTTTTGGGGCAGCAGATTGTCTCAGTAAAAGATGAGGGCTGAGTGACGTCCAATAAGGTTGCCGCTTCTATTTTCTCAGTGTTTAATTCCAAGAGCAGCTTTTCTTGCTATATAAACTAGGCATCCAATATATTGTGCTGTGCAGGCATTGGGGATCCCTGCCTTATTTTGGCTTACTTACCTGAAATTGAAAAAGTTTATTTATAGTTTGGATTTGTTACGGCCGCTCAGCGTGTATCAAATTGTGGCCGCCTCTATTAGTCACTTGTAGCACTCTGTTGCAAATTGGCGACTGCGTATTCTACATCTAATTTCTGGTCCTTAATATGCCACAAAACTCTTTGATTTCCTGGACAACAGTTTTGTGGACTTGGACAGAGCCCATTCGTAGCTTTACGCATGTATTTTTGCATGGATAAAATTCATTTTCTATTGAGCAAGTGTCCCCTAGCAGTCAATTAAAACCAAGGCTTTAGTCCACTGGAGTGCTAAAACCAGGCTTAGCAAGAGCACTCCTGACATCTCACCTGTTACAGTTGACCTGTACAGTAAAAAAAAAACCACTTATTTCTTTTTTTTTTCCTTATCTTGTAAAAATAGCTTAGCTGCGGGAATGTATTTTTCAAACATTTCACTCCAAAAGCCATCATTGTCAATGACTAAATTACATGTAACTGCTTTTTGTTACTTTCCAAATTCTGCATCATGGGTTTTTTCCCATCTAATTCTATTTTACCACATCCCGTGGTCCTCTGTGCCGTGAACAGAATCTAACCTGATCATCGTTAGAAACTGAACAGAGTTTCAGCTGAATCTTTAACCTGCTGAGACAGCTAAGGTAAATTCTTTAGCTTTTGAAGCTGTTTCCTTTGGAAATGGTTAGTGGCCAGTGGCAGGACTGCTATACGATTGGATTACCTGAAGTAGTGTTTTATACCTCGTGTGCTTAAAGATGTACTGATGAGTTTTATTTCTTTTGTCTTGCAGTGAGCCAGTCAGAAAACCAAACAGGTACAGTAGCTCTGAACTATATTAATGCAACAACCTTGGTGGGGAGATTCCTTTTAGAGCAGTGTTTCTCAACCTTGACAATTTTAAGGCATGTGGACTTCAACTCCCAGAATTCCACAGCCAGCAATGCTGGCTGTGGAATTCTGGGAGTTGAGGTCCACATGCCTTAAAATTGTCAAGGTTGAGAAACACTGTTTTAGAGTCTAATACATTGCATTCTTTTAATTTAACCTTCCGCTTTCCTCCAGCGTTTTTGGATGCAGTAAATTTTTATGTCGTTCGGATGAGCCCAGACCAGTTGTTTAATGTGGAATTTAGCTAATCCAGACTTTGGAGCAAGGAGCTGTGTTTTTCTCCCCCCAGCAAACAAACTCAGAAATTTCTGCAGAAAATCTCTGCAAAGTCTTTCTTCACATGAAGTCCTTAGTTAGAAGCAGCAATCACATATTTGTGCTTTATCGGCTCTGGAGCTGGCGTTAATTTTGAGTCCATTGCAAGCAGAAGTTTGGGAATCTTACAGATTCTCACGTGCTTTCAGTTCGGTGCCGTTTTTAGCACTATTGCAATTAGAATCTCCCTTCTCAAGTTGGTCAGTTAATACATTTAGATAAATAAATGCAGTCTGGGCCTCGGTTCTCGGTTTGTTGTACTTGGTGGGAGGAAGTACACGCCTCTTACTCAGGTTTATAATTTACTGCCTAATGTTAAAAACTGACTTTATTTTGCTTTTTACCTACAGGAAAACTTAACATAGCCCGTGTCTATGGAAGTTGTACTGAAGTCAGTTCTATGAATAAATTTCTATGAAAACTAAAACTCTGCTTACTGCGTGTTCTTCTCCTGAGCAGTTGGACTGTTCAGATTTGCACACAGTATCAAAAAGAGAAGAACAAACTCAATTCAATCAGGTGTAATTGGCCCCGGGGGGAGTGAGAAAATGAAATTTAATCCAAAATAGTGGTATTTTAAATTAAGCGTGTTTGTAAAAGAGCATGTTTGTAAAATCGGAATGTAAAAATCAACAAGACCCTGAGAGATACTGAGCATTAATTCCAGGAGCAGCAATCGGCGTGGGAATTGTAGCTGAGCAATCTTGCGGCGTCTGAATTTCTTCCTACTTTGTATAGGTTAACTTTTGGTCTTGGTGGATTGTCAGATGCAGAAGAGAGCAAAGCACAACTAGTAGAATTCCTGTGCTAGTCTAGCTCTTGCTCCCCGGTATTCCTAGATCTCCAAAGACAGATTCCTCCGGCCCTGCATTTTGTTTTATCGTCACAAGTTGTGCTGTATTAGAATAGAATAGAATGTGGAATAGAATAGAACAGAACAAAAGAACAAGAATAAGAATTTGGAATAGAATAGGATGCAGAATAGAATAGGGAAGAATAAGAATAGAATAGAATGTGGAATAGAATAGAATAGAAAATAGAAAAGAAAATAGGATAGAATAGAATAGAATAAAGAAATAGGGGAGACATGATAGCAGTCTTCCAGTATTTGAGATGCTCACAGCACCAGAGGGAAGGATGAGAAACAATGGTTGGAAACTGATCAAGGAGAGAAGCAACCTGGAACTAAGGAGAAACTTCCTAACAGTGAGGACAATTAACCAGTGGAACAGAAGTTGCCTTCAGAAATCGTGGGTGCTCCATCACTGGAGGTTTTTAAGAAGAGGCTAGATCAGTGGTTCTCAACCTGTGGGTCGGGACCCCATTTGGGGTCGATCGACCATTTCACAGGGGTCGCCAAGCAAGGCTGTCCGCCATTTTTTTTGTCCGCCATTTTTTTCCCCTTTTCCGGCGGGTGCCTTACCTCCCTTGGGCTGGGCCAGCTGGTGGTCGGCCTGCTCCGTCTCTGCCGCTTGCCAGCTACGCCTCGGCCAGCGCAGGGGGCAGAACCACGCATGCGCGGCGCTCCCGGGCAGGGAAAGTCCTCGACTTACGACCGGTTGGGTAGTCCTCGACTTACGACCGGTTTAGTCCTTGACTTACGACCGGTTTAGTCCTCGACTTACGACCGGTTGGGGTCGCGGCATTAAAAAGGTTGAGAACCACTGGGCTAGATAATCACTTGTCTGAGATGGTATAGGTTCTCCTGCTTGAACGGGGCTGGACTAGAAGGCCTCCAAGGTCCCTTCCATCTTCTATTCTGTTCTGCTCTACTGCAACCTGGATGATTAATTCGGGTACTTCCTTCCACACGAGAGTGAACAATATCTTGGATTAAGTGTTTTCCGGTGAGACCGGTCTACCAGGGCAACCTGGTTTACCCGAAATATGGGACGGAGCATACTGCTTCCCCTTAATCTCCCCCTGGTACAGCCAACAAAGCGAGGAGAGCCTGTGGCCTAGAGGTTAATACATCTGCCTAACATGCAGGTGTCCTGGGTTCGAATCTCAGAAGGGTATAGCTAGCTGATGAGAGCTAAGTAGCTCGAAATAGCTATACTAGTCTCCCTTTAATTCTTCGTCGGTAAATTTAAATTTAACACACAAATCTCTTGGATTATGTAAGGTACCAGGAACCATCTGAATTATGGAAAACGGTGTCACCTCTCCCAATTCTGCAACTTGGTTTCTTTGGCTGACTTCGGGATTCTTGATGGCTCATTTACTACAGATTTTGGATCCTTAAAAAACAAACAAACCCCAAACTGCTAAAACTGGGAGCACGCAAGAATTCTTCATTCTTTAAATAAAAACATCAGTGGCGACTTGAAACTTTCCAATCAGTCTTTTCGGCAGCTGCCAAAGTCCTCACTTCTAGCAACTTTGGAAATTGCTTTTCGGTTGATTTCAGCTCTGACCTGGTAACAATGCCTCTGGGGCCTAATTAACAGGGAAATCGCTTTGGAACGTGTTATCTCTGAAACTCAATCGCTTGGGTTAACAAATTAACTTCTGCATTGCTGCTGAGAGAATGATGGAGGGGGAAAAAAGGGCTAAATTGCTACTTTTTTTTAGAAGAAAAACAATTCCTGTTTGCCCTCTTGGTCTCTGTGCTTGCATATTAAATTTTGTGAAAGCTGACAAACCGTTTTTTGGAGGCAGACTTGATAGAAACGGGGGCATTTAGCTCCTGATAAAAACAATAAAATAGATCAAGCTAAGGGGTTTTTTTTGTTTGTGTTTTTTAAACTAATTTCTCTCGTGCCCTCATTTCATTATTCTGCTATGACCTAGGCCTCGGTAAGAAAATATCTTACCCTCGTTTTCTAGAGCAAGGCTCCCCAACTGGGCTGCAGCCCGTTTGGAACCGGTCCGTGGAAGTGGAGGACGAGAGGGTGCGTGCACGAAGCTGCGTTTGTGAAATCGACGCACGTGCAGATGTGAAACCATCCCGTCTCCCCACCCTTCCACCGCCACCTCCAGTCTGCTGAGCGGGAAGGTTGGAGTCCGCTGTTCTAGAGTGATTTTGATCCATCAGTCTTTTGTAACAAATGAGAGGCAGTTTGGTCTAGTGTAGGGGGTCCCCAACGTCTGGGCCGTGGCTTACTACCGGTCCAGGGCCTATTCGCAACCAGGCTGTATGAGTGGCTGGCTGGTGCACATGTGCACAGCCCCACTCGCGTGAGCATCACAGGCATTCCTGGTCCCCCTTGCTTGAGTGTTGCAGGAACATTTGGCCTCACACAAGTGTCACAGGTTCTCTTGGCCTCACCTGTGCGAGTAACGGGTGCTTGCGCGCACACGTGCCCCTCCCACAAAACCACCCCCTCTTTTGTCCCTCCCCTTTTCTGGTCCGCCAACCGTTTACCTTCAGCATTGTAGAAAAGGACCAACTGCTTCCTAAAGAAGGATTCATCTCTCGTTGGAAAAGGAGCTTTTTCATAATCTTTACCCAAAGAATATTCATGACATTCATGATTTTTTTTTTTTTTACCATCGAACCATAAAGATGATGCCTGACATCACTATTGTGGAAGAGGGAAAAAAAAATCTGGTTCATTGATATCGCGATGCTGCGTAATGCGGGAATTGAAGAGAAACAACTAGAAAAAATAACGAAACACCGCAATTTGCAAATTGAAGTTGAGCGATTGTGGAGGAAGAAACTAATGGTTGTCCCTATAGTAAGAGGAGACCGTGGAGCAATACCCAAAGGGCTGCTGAGATACGGGGAAATTTTGAACTCATTAAACCTAAATATCCTTACTTTGCAAAAAAAACAAAAAACACCCCACCTTACTCGGAACCGCCTATATACTCTGAGGTTACCTTAACAGCTCTTAAGGTCCTTGGTTAGGACTACAACTATTACGCTTTTACCAGTCCCAGACTGAATTGCATTGAACATTAAATCTTAAATAATAATAATAATACTTGTACCAATATAATAGCAGTCTTTGGAGCAATACCCAAAGGGTTGCCTAGATACGTGCAAATTTTGAACTTATTAGACCTGAATATTCTGCAAAAAAACAACAAAACCCCACCTTACTCGGAACCGCCTATATACTCCGACGTTACCTTAACAGCTCTTAGGTCCTTGGTTAAGCTTTTACCAGTCCCAGATTGTGAATCAAACAGAAGACAATAACAACAACAACAATATACCACCAAGATCCTTACCAAGGACCTGGGATAGGCAGATCTGAATGTTTGACAGTTTTATGAAGGAGAATATTTGCAACTCAGGGTTGAAATGAGGGGTCCCTCGTGCTCTCTGAGCTTGGTTGTTTTCTTGCAGACGTTTCATGACCCAACTAGGTAACGTCATCAGTGCTGGAAGGGAGTGGAAACTCATCAAGGAGAGAAGCAATCTGGAACTAAGGAGAAATTTCCTGACATTTAGAACAATCAACCAGTGGAACAGCTTCCCTCCAGAAGTTGTGAGTGCTCCAACACTGGAGGTTTTTAAGAAGAGACTGGACAGCCATTTGTCTGAAATGGTATAGGGTCTCCTGCCTGAGTAGGGGTTGGACTAGAAGACCTCCAAGGTCCTTTCCAACTCCTATTCTATTCTATTCTATTCTATTCTATTCTATTCTATTCTATTCTATTCTATTCTATTCTGTATTCGTATTCTATTCTATCTACTCTATTCTGCATTCTATTCTATTCTTTATAGATTATTATTATTATTATTATTATTATTATTATTATTATTATTATTATTATTATTATTATTATTATTATGCTACTTGTCAGTGTTAAAAAAGAGTCAAGTATCACCTTGTCGGGGAGATGGTGGCATTAAAAAAAAATCAGTACTTAAATAATTAAAAATAATTCTCGTATGGATAACTTTTAACTGTTACGTTTACATTTGTCGCGCTCCCAGTCCATCCCTCTATCCAGATTAGAGCCGGCGCACACATTCGATGTTTATTAAAATCTGCAAACATCCAAAACAGTTTACAAACGAACTTGAGATAAAAGGCAGGGGAGAAAAACAAAGCCGGGACAGACGTGAATAGCAGGCAAGAACTTAAACATTATCTATAGGCATCGCTACCTCTCAAAAGAACATATGGAATCTTTCAGACCCTCTGGAGACCATATTCACATGGACAGTCAAGATAACAAGAGGAAATGGCTGTTAGTTATTTTCTAGTGTATTTTATGTATGCAGTAGAAGACTTAAGAGATGAATAATGGGGCACCTTGTGATCCTTCCCCTATTCTGCAGCATCCAGCTGCAGTTGAGAAACACTCGCGTACGGTACCCCATAATGGAATAAACCAATGTAGAGATCTTATAAATAAATAGATAGATATGGTTGGATCCTGGTTTTTCCTTGCTTTTCAAACATGAATATTTTCGGTATGAAAACTGGCTGGGTAATTTTGGGCCAGTCACTGATTCTCGGCCCA